AAACTCTGATATCTTTCCATTTGTTGGTATCTGCTAATTTCTTTCACCAACATTTTACAATATTCAGTGTACTGGTCTTTCATTTCCTTGGTTAAATTTTGTCCTTAGTATTTTATTCTGTTTTAATAATACTGTGACTGGGATTATTTTCATAATTTCATTTTTGGAAAAATGATTTTTAGTATATAAAATGGAACTGATTTTTATACACTGATTTTGTATCTTTCAATATTTGCAATTTATTAATTCTAACAATCTTTTTTTCATGAACTCTTTAGTTTTTTTAAAAAATATTTTTGTAGTTGTAGATAGACACAATACCTTTATTTTATTTGTTTATTGTATGTGGTACCAGGGATTAAACCCAGTGCCTCACCCATGCTAGGCAAGTGCTCTACCACTGAGTCACAACCCTGGCCCTAGTTTTTTTTTTTAACATATAAAATCATATCATATGAAAACCAAATTTTCCTTCTTCCTTTATAATTTGGAGGGCTTTTATGTTGTGTTTTTTTCTTTTTTCCTAATTACTCTTGCTAGAAATTTCAGTACATGTTGAATCTCTCCATTTATGATGGAGATGTGTTAATGTCTCAATTATAATAGTAGGTTCGTCTATTTCTTTTTGCAGTTTTATCAGTTTTTACACCAGATATTTTGATTTGACACTCTATTCTTACATTCACAGAAATAGGGGATTGTTATGTCACCTTGGGAGTATTGATCCTTTTATAATTAAGTAATTCCTCTCTTTATCCCTGATAAATTTGCTTACTCTGAAATCTACACTGTTGAAATTAATATAGCAATTACATGTCATTTTGATTAGTGCTTGCATGGTAAATCTTCCCCTATTCCCTGTGTCTTTGTGTTTAAAGTGAGTTTATTGTAGATAATAAGTAGTTGGATCTGTTTATTTAATCTGCTCTGACAATTCCTTTTAGTTTATTTATACCATTGACACTTAAATTGATTACTGAGAGGGTTTGGGGGGCTAGGTCAGTGGTAGAGTGCTTTCCCAACATGTGTGAAGCCCTGGGTTGGATTACCAGCACTGCAATAAATAAATAAATAAAGTTGGACTAATACATACCACATTTGTTACTGTTATTTATTTCTTGTCCTGTTTTCTTTTGTCCAATTTTTGTCTTCATACTTTGTTTTTATTATTTGTGGTTTCAATTGAACATTTTACGATTCCATCTTCTTTTTTTTTTAGCATATGATGATATATATATTTTTTCCTTCTTCTTTTCCTTTTTCAATTGTTCTAGAGTTTGTGGTATACATTTTAATGATTTGGATATGGTTTGAGTTTGATACCTAATACTTCACATGTAGGAATTTGGTCCTCAGTGTGGCAATGCTGAGAGGTGGTGTGGAGTCTTTAATACCTGGTCCTGCACGATGGTATGACCCAAGCGTGTAATCACATAAAATAAAAAGAGCTTGTATTTTTTATTTTGAGATAGGGTCTTGCTAAGTTGCTTAGGGCCTCACTAAGTTGCTGAGACTGGCTTTGAAGCAGCAATCCTCCTGCTTCAGCCTCCTGAGCCACTGGGATTATAGACCCGTATCACTGCATGCATCTATCTTACTGTTTTTGATCTATAGCATTTTAAATTCTTTTTTAGAACTTCATATCCCTGTTTATATCATCCATCTTTTCCATTAAATGCTGTCTATTTTTTTCCATTAAAGGTTTGTGCTTGTGGGTTTCTACTCTGAAAAGTTCTCATTCTGTATATTTGCTTATGTGCCTCTCCCATTTGGGGCTGGATAGTGTTTTTTGTCCTGTGACTTTCCTTCTCTGAAGAATCTAAGAATAATTGTTGATTTTTTGTTTGTTGAGCTTTTTAACTTACTGTTAGCATGAAGAGTGAGTTTTAAGTTATTTACCTGCAGAACTGGAAACCAAAAATTCCTCCACCAGATTTTCATTCATCAAAGCTTTAAGTCTAATTAACTTGAGAAACATTTTATTATATTTCAAGCCAAGGGATGGGGATATGGAGGAAAAAGCTACCAGCAGGGTGTAGGGATAAAATTGTGAGGCTCTGGAAAATAGTAGTGAACAATGGAAAAAGAAGAAGAGTAGGGTGGAGAAGGAAAATGGTAGGCAGGTTATGAATAGCAATTTGAGTACTGGAGACCTAAGAGTGGGTTTAAGGGTAAACATAACTAGATTTAATTTAGAGATTATAAGGAAACTGAGATCTTAGTGGAATCTTTGTTAAAGGTCTTAGTATGTTTCTACCTGAGATGGATGACTGAAAAAAAATTCCATATTGGGATTTGGACAAACAGAAGACTGATTGTATGTGTGTGTATCTGTGTGTGTATAGAGTAGAGCTAAGGTGTTAAGGACAGGAACACTTGACAAATATTGGGTACAATATAGAGTGATGTTTGTAACCTTGTCATCCATCAAAGTTCCTGGCAATGAATGGTTGTTCTCCATAAGTGCTTGTTGGAAGAATAAAAGACCTTAATCAACATTTTCTGAAAATAATCTATAATAAAAATTTTAAAAAGTTATTTTGACAATAATAAAAAGTGAACTTCATCCCCTATTTATGAAACGTTTCTTAATGAAAGTGTAAAAATAAAGCAGCCAAAGGCACCTAGTAGAAACCAGTATCTTAACAGCTAGACAATACAGGAATGCATTATACCAATAGTCTTATTCACCATTCTTTGGAATCAACCCTTAATTTAATTTCATTCCTAAATCTTTTGCATTCTCTTTCTTCAACTCCCTTTCTCTAATCCCAATTTCTCCTTCTTCCTCTTCTCCTTTCCCCTCTCTTCCTTACCTCTTTCCATCTCCCCACTTCTCTCTCTTTTCTACTTCATACATTCTCTCCCCTTCTTTGTCAGATGTTGTCTCCTCTTTCTTCTTGCCTCTTGGCACATTGAGAAAACACTAGCAATTCCTTAAGAAGCTTGACGGAGGTGGTGAGAGTGGGTGGAGAAATGCAGTTGGTAAAGTTGCTATAAGCTGGGTCTTGAAATTCCTTGTGTTGATACACTTTCCTCCTAAGTTATACAAGAGTTTTAAAGCAGAAAAATAGCCTTCACTGATTTGAACTTAAAAGGTCACTCAAGCAGTCAGTAGAAAGAATGGATGGTTGGAGAGAGGAGGAAATGGAAAACTGAAGTAGCTGGGAGACATTAAATTTCTATAAACAGTAGTTTAAGGGAGCAATTTAGCAGGTAAAACATCGGGGGAATGTGTTGGGGGTTGAAAGATGTTTGAAAGCTGATTTTACAAAACAAGCACGTATTTCATGTTGGGGTATATGAGATGACTTGATAAAAAAAGTATTCCTCCCACCTCCAACACATTTAGAGTTGCCACTGCAGGAAAACCACTTTGGAGGCTATTTCAATGATTCAGACCAGGGAGGTGTACACACATTGTAGAAATCTAACTAAAAATGACTTGGTCTCAATGACTTGCATGGTGGGCAGCAAATATAAAGTGAAATCCTGGTTTTGTATTTAAGGTCTTTCATCAGACAGGAAAAGCTAGAATAGGAATGTGTGTGGGATAGCTGATGGAAGGAGACAGATTAGCAAGTGATAAGGCTAAGAAATGGGATTTCAGAAAAAAATATTGTTGTTGTTGTTGTTAAGCCAGAATTAGACAGGCAGTCAGTATAGATGGTAAATTGAGTCAGGTCGGAGCAGGGAGGTCAATTTTGAGTGAGTCTGGGAAGTTGGAGACTTGTCCCCTGAGGGATTGAAATGTTAATTCCTACAGAGCCCTTCCTCCACCCTTATCAAGAACCTGCGCCTGCTGCAACCTGTTGCCAAGGTAACCTGTAGGGGGGGGGAATTGTCCCTCTCTACAGGGAGCTAAAAGGTTGTTAAAGTGCCCTTTGTTAATCAGTGTTGCCCTTCCCCCTCCACTCTCCCTTTTCCCACCTTGGGGCCATCCCACCAAGCATTCCTGGGTCTAGTCAGGTAGGCAGGAAGGAGAAAGATAAGGGAGAAAAGTCAGAAGAACAAAGGAAGCCTAGGACATAAAAAGGGCCGAACACCTCGCTTCTTGGGATACCAGGATACCAGCTATGGCCCCCTTCTCCCTCCCAGAAGTCTGTTACCCCTTTTTGAATAAACTCTGCTTTATATGCTTGCCTCAGCCTGCTTCTCTAATGTTCAAACATGTGGGGAAGCAGGACTCATCACCGATAACCGGCAGTATCAGTGGCATGCCAATTATGGGGACAAAAAATCATATAGGAACTCAAATGGGAAAATATGGGAGCAGAGAGTACCCTTTTTGTGTGCTGTTTCTCTTCCTTCATTTTCTTATCAAAGTAATATATGCACACGGTAATATATAATATATAAATGTATATTATATTTATTACTTCTTACTATAGTAATATGAGAACTTATTTCCTACACTGTACCCCATAAATATGTACAAATATTACATATTAATAAAAAAATTTTAAGTTGCCAAAATATTTTTTAAAAAGTGGGGAGATGAATGTGAATACTAAAACCCCACATGAATCCCTGCTCCCAGCAATAATAATTTATTGGGAAAGTCTCAGTTTTAAGAAAGAGCTTTAGATATTTAATGCACCTAATTGCAAGGTCGGTTACTGGGACTAACAACAAAAGACAGGAAGTTAAAAAACGCTTGGCCTTCCCTGCCAAGATCCCTTAAGGGTAACTAGCAGTAAAAATGGCTAGCCTGGAGACATGGAAATGCAGTCATCTCCTTTAATTCTCCTCAGCGGTTGGGGGCAGGGGAGCAGGTCGGCACACTCTTAAAGAGCCTGCAGGCTCATAGAGCCCTGTGGGGCTGGTGGCGCGGAAGTTAAGAGCTAATGCCACGTGATGGCGACAAGCGACACTCTGGCTTTCCCGGAGTAGTCTCTATGGTATTCTTCCCAGCCCACCCGCCCCTTGGGCAGCGGCAGTCACGTGTCAGACTCCGGGTTTACGACAGGTGCTCACGTGATCCTGGCCTGCAGTCGGGTGGCTGCGGTGAGGTACCTGGGATCCTGAAGGGCGGGCGGTTAGGTCGTTACCGCCGCCGCCGCTGGCGGACTAAACCGGGCGGCCAGGAGCGAGCAACCTGGCGGCTGAGGCGTTCACTGCATAGTGCCTACGGCACCGGGTCATCTCTTTCTGCGACCTCCGCCTTCGCGGTCCCCACCTTTTTGAGGGCGAAATCACTTTTGGGTTTCGAGACCTTGCGGCGTGAGGCCCCAAATCGGGGAGACTCCCCAATTTACCTGTCTTTTCCTCTATTCCTCCATCTCTTCCTTTGCACCACTGAATCACTTGGTTTTTGGCTGGCCTGCTTGGCCGTGCCTTGAGGCCAAGTTCGGGGCGGTAAAGGTAACGGTGGGGAAAGCGGCCCCCCAGTGGACAAAGGCAGAGGCAAGAATAGAGCAGGCCTGAGGGCCGCAGTCAATGAGAATAGGCAGTTGAGGGGGTGAACGAGAAAAAGAGTACTGCGGATTTAGAAGGGACTGGAAAGGACTTGTTGCACGATGGAAGAATCTGACTCTGAGAAAAAGATGGAGAAAGAGAATCTGGGGCCGCGAATGGATCCTCCACTAGGGGAACCGGAAGGCTCGCTTGGGTGGGTGAAGGGTATTGTGTCAAACCTGGAAGGGAGGGTGTTTGAACTGAGGAGTATTGTGAATTAGAACACCCCACCCCCATGATAAATTGCATGATAAATTGCTTCGGTTTATCAGTAGGGTTGATTGATATACTTTTGACAACATAATAAACTGAAAAAGGGACTGGTGCTAATTGGGCAGTCAGCCCTTGAGATGGGGCATGTGGGTGTTCTAATTGAGACGGTTACATGTTGCTTTGAATTATCAATAAAAGGCGATTAGATCTCAACATGTAAGAGATAAAAGGACTAGCATTTCTTAGAGACCAGTGGCTTAGAGTGTTTTCTGTGCCAATTTGTACCTGAATTTGAGACTTGTATTATATGTATTTTGTGCCATTAATGAGTGACATACATCTTGGAAGACTGCCAAGGTCCAAGGATGCTTCCAGATTTTAAAAATAGAAAGTCGAATTTTAAAAAATATAAGATTTGATATATAATATTTAAATATGAAAATGTTCTTTGACTTATTACACCACCTGTATATGTTGTTGATCAATTTTTTAAGATGAGGAAAAGTCAAATTTTAATAACTAATTTATATTCCTAAATATATTCTCCTAGGAGCTGTCGCCAGAGCTTGTAGTTAGGGGACAAGAGCATGAACCCAGTTTTGTAGTTTATGAGGGCTGTTACTCTACTGAGGTTCCCTACACAGCTGCATTCACCTGTTGTATTAAACATGTTCTTTTGCTCCTGCACATTTATTTATATTTCTTTAATTTCAGTTTATAAGGCAATTGGATCATGGGAACTCTTGTCTTTTGGTTTATGTCTACAGGTGGGTGCTACCAAATACAGCCATGAAGAAAAAGGTAAGATGTGTTAGGTACATCAGAAACATGATGGTAAAGGTAAGAAATAGTCATTCAGGAACCATAGAGTGGATATATACCATCTTTCCTGGACTATTGCAGGAATCTTCCGGATTCTTATTCACTGTGCCATTAGATTTTTTATTTTTCTAAAATATATAAATCTGAATGGGTGAATCCACATATACACCCACTATATAGGAGTATGCCTGCACATTTATTTTCAACCCAAATCAAAATGTTACACTATAAGATCTTACATCAGTTCTCCAACTGGAATTGTCCACTCTTCCTTTTATGTTGTTATGGCTCTATGCCTCACATTGGGGTTTAGGCAGAATTCTTAAGAGTGCAACTCTAGAACATATTTTTTAAACTTCAAGGCTTCAGTATCGTTTGTGAAATGGTGATTTTACAAATCACCCATTTCATAGGTAGTTGTGAAATTTAAGTGAATAAAATGCCTGTAGAGCACTTAGGGTCTACCATGGTTTAGCCTTATCAACAAGGATGCCTAAAAATACCAGAATTTTTTACATAATTAAAAACAAAATTTAGCTTAATTTAATCACTCCATGGTATATAAATGTAGCAAAATATCATGTTGTACCCCAGAAATATATACAGTTAACTGTTTCTCAGTTAAAATATTTTTTAAATAACAGAAAAGCCCTTTTTTGTACATATTTTTGGCTGGCTCAGTAGTGAAATTTTCTTAATTAGATAAAGTTACACAGAGAATGTGTTAGATTGAGTGTAGTACAAACCTGAGTGCAGTACATTTTCATTAATACTCCTTACATTTGTAATCAGAAATTTTTATAAAATATCTGTGATTGAAAGTAAAATGTGTATCCATTACATTTGAAAAGCAAGGTAATTGGAACAGTGTTTTATAAATTTTAGATTTGAAAGGACTCTAAAAAGTCGTTTTATCCAATTCCCCTCAAATACAAGAATATATGACATTCTTGACAGGTAGTTTTCTCTCTCTGTTAATGCTAACATTGATAACAAAGTTATTTACCTTCATAAGGCCACAATTTCCACTGGAAACTTCTTCATTGTTAGAAGCTCTTCTTTTTATCTTTGTTTTTGAAGCTTGTTTATTCTTTGAAGAACATCATTTTGAGCAAAATTATCATATGTTAGGCACTGGAGATATAAATGGGACTCTCCCTGCCCTTTGGGAACTTAGAGTCTTGTGAGAATCAGGCTGAAAAGTGAGTAACTGCAATACATTATGTCCTTTGCAATGATAAAACAGTTTAATTGGGAGACTGAGATAAGACATCTAAGTCAGCCTAGGGCTTTAGGGTCAGAGAATCTTCTTGAGCAGATGATTACTAAACCAAGTGACATTTAGTAGAAAGAAGAACAAAGAATGGAATATTGCTGGGAGAGAGTACAGTATAAAACAGAGACATAGAAGCAAGACTCCATGGAGGGCTGGTAACAGAGACTATAAGCTGTTCTCAGTTCAGTGTGGCTGGTTGCTAAAAGTTCTAGCTCAGATGGACAGGAGATGAAGATAGTGTAGTAGATAGGCTAGAGCTTATATATAGTTTAAAGCCTTAATCCTGTAGGTCATGGGAAACTTATAAAAAGAAGAGACAGAGGGCTGGGGTGGAGCACTTGCCTGGCATGTGTGAGGCACTGGATTTAATCCTCAGCATCACATAAAAATAAAATAAAGATATTGTGTCCACCTATAACTATAAAAAATAAATATTAAAAAAAGAGACAGAGTAATTAGTGAAACAAAATCATAGAGGGAAGTAGAAGGGAAAAGTTCAAGTGCTCCAGAGAGGTAGAAGAATTGACCTTGAGCCAGAGGAGGAAGAAATTTTAATTATGCTAAATCCCCTGCTAAGTAGTTCAGTGCATAAAACATTAGATTATAGGAGAATCGGGTTTAATTTCCTCTCGAGATGGTATTTTTCTAATCTAGTTCTAAGAATATTACATATTAATAACATAAATTCAGCTGGGTGCTTTGGCCCACACCTGTAATTAGTGACTTGGGAAGCTGAGGCAAAAGGATCACATGTTTGAAGTCAGCCTGGGCAACTTAATGAGACCCTGTCTCAAAAAATAAATTTTAAAAAGGGACAGAATGGGGGCTGGGGCTGTGACTCAGTGGTAGAGCACTCGCCTAGCATGTGCGAGGCACTGAGTTTGATCCTCAGCACCACATAAAAATAAATAAATAAAGGTATAAAAAAGGGACAGAATGTAAAGTGGTAAAGAACCCTTTGGGTTTGATCCCCATTACCACAGAACAAACAAAAAACATAAAATCACTGTAGTTCTGTAGCCAAAAGGATGTGTGACCTGTGAAAGGTAAGCACTTGGCTTCTGGAATGCTAGATATATCTGCATTCACCATTGGTTGGGAAACAGTTTAGTTAGTTACAAGTATCTACACCAGATTGTTGATACTGTTATTTCACTAAAATGCCAAATACAGGAGAGAAATAGGTCCTGTTACACTAGATTTACTCCAGATTGTTAATATTTTTCTTTCTTTTTTAGGTGCTGTTGATGGGTAAAAGTGGGTCTGGTAAGACCAGCATGAGGTCTATTATCTTTGCAAATTATATTGCCAGAGACACACGTCGGCTTGGTGCAACAAGTAAGATGTTTTATCTTATTGTAAAGTGAGGTGATCTTAACTATTAATCTGCATAACACACTTGGTTGCATAGCTTGGGAATGCAGAGGTTGAAGGATTTTTGGAGCATGTTCCCCTTTTTGCATTTCTCCTCAGAGAAATGTGGCCTAATTCTGATTCTTACTGCTCACTCTCTTGGAAGGCTTTTTTGCTTTCTAGTTTGCTTACAAAGTGGGATGCCTTCTTCCAACTTCTTGCTTATCCTGCTATTTCTTAACCAGCATAGGGTCCTTTGTGTTTGTTTGTTTTGGGGGAAGAGTGTTTGTTTTTAATTGTTATTGTACAAAGGGAAATTCTTAGGTATTAAGAAGCATAAATAAAATCCAAAATTTTTTGAAGCTGTAGTTAGTCCTTGTCCTCATTCAAAGGTAAACTACAGGGGTGAGAAGAATGGAAATTAACCTGATATTCTCTTCCTAGATACACATAGATGGTCTCACTGGAGTTTTCTATTCTGACATGGGAAATATCTTATTGCTCTTTATGGTTGAAATGTTAGTATAGACTTGCTGGGTTGCCATGGCTACCAGGCCAGTGTATCTAGGATCTTAGGAGAGCCCTTCTGTCTGTGAGCTGCAATGTCATTTCATTCTGTGGCATCCAAGCATTTCTGGATTCTTCCTTCCTTGGTCTTTGACTTCCAAGTGAAGGAAGCATTACATATCTGACCTTTAAATATTCCTGATCTGTATTTCTAGCATCTTGAATGTTTTTAGGGATAAGTCACCCATAAGAATAGTGTCTCACTCTGGTTTCAAGAATAGTAAACATCTTTTAAACACATTATTGTCCAGATTCTGAGATACAAAGGAGAAGAAAACCTTGTTTCTGTTCTTATAGGGCTTGGAGTATAGTATTCACTTTCATAATTAGGGCAGGTTTGATGACTACAAAGCTGTCTCTTAAGCAGAGATCCAAATCTATTTTCCCTCATTTCCATTAGCTGGTTTTCTTTCTGTTCTTGTAAGCTTTACAAATGTTTGAAGATGTTCAGTGTCTCAGTTTATCCTAGTCATCCCCTGCCTCCCAAATCTTGTCTTTCTTAAGTTAAACATCTCTAGTTCCTTCATCTATTCTTCATTTGACATAATTTGGAAGTATTTTTAAGGATTTGTTCAAACTTATTTACATTTTTCTTATGCAGTTGTGGTCTGATCAGGGCAGAGTAGGCCTATTACATCTCTTATTCTGGATATTACATTGCTATTAGTAACAGAGTAACCCCCATCTTCTTTTATAAAATGACCTTCATTACACTGAGTCATACTAAAAAGCCCCAGTTCCTCTTCAGATATATTGTTATTAAAACATATTGTTCTGAGTCTTGTGCAGTTAATATTTTGAACCTAAGTATGAATGCTTATTACTAAATTTTGCTTTATCCCATGATATATTTCTGCACCCTGTGTATTTTAACTGTAAAATTCAAAACAAGTCACTGTCTCTCTGATCTGTGTTTCTTCATTTCCTTATCTATAGTAAAGGGTTTGGATCCTATGTTCATTGTTACTCTCTCATATATTATCTATCCTTCCAGCCTTGTGCAGTTTGTACATTTGATGAGTATGTCATTTGGTTTCGGTATTGGTCAAAAATTTTGGACAAGATATTGTTCAATGGCCTGTTGTACCTATATCTGGCTTCTGGAAAATCTGTCTGTCCATCCACATTTCTTTCTATCTTGATTTGATAGATTCTGAAATTTTTCTTTTCTTCCAAGTTATATCTAGGCCTAGAACCTATATGATTTCAGTAGATTAAAGGAAGCAAATGTTTATTGAACAACTGTCATTTGCCAGGCTTTTGTATTCTGTTTTATTTGTGTTAGTCCTCATATTAACTTTATTTTAATAGATAACAAAAGTACAACTTAAAAATTAATTTCACTTAGCTAGTAAACATTAGAGCTGGAATACCAATCTGTGAACACTACTCTGAACAATTCCTGGCAGATTCCTTTTTCTTTGTGTTTAAAATTCTGCACAATTTGTTGAAGAACCCCTTTCTAGTCCTAGTGATGTTTCTGATTTTAACTGATCAGCAGAGTTGATTTATTATTGAATCCATGAACAGACTCACAACCAAAATTTTGGAACTACTCAAACTGCTTAAAGTAATTTTAACATAATCTAACAGCATCATTATGAACAGAATGTTGCAAATTATGTGGATCCTATTCACTAAATAGGCCATTTATTAAATGGGTAATTTTCTGAAACTTCCCTGTGTATTAGGCACTGTGGATGGGCTCTTGTCCTTAAGGATATCTCAAGTGGGAGCTTTATTAATATACTTTGTTAGCAATTACTATATCTCCTTAAAGGTAGTAAAAGTATACTTAAAAATATGTTGGCTTTAATGCTTTAGCATATCATCATTAGCTAGTTTGTTATTATTGAACAAAAGTCTGTTTTATTGCTAAATACATAGACTAGTTCAAAATTCCTATAGTGCATTGCTTTTTACTTGATATTCCTTTTATGCAGTTGCTAATTTCTTTAAAAGTAGCAAAAGAGTACTTCTTTTAAAATTTACATTGACTTTAATGTTTTAGTGTTTTCCTAGTTTGTCATTTCTTGAAAAAGTCTGGTTTTATTTTGTTAAATTTAGAGCCTACTGTGTTTGGAAATTTGAAGTAAGGATACAGAATGATGATGTTATTAATTTATTAGGGGGAATGTTAAAATGTGTTTGTTGGAATAGTAAATTTGTCAATAAAAATATGTTTATGAAGTATTTTAGTCTCAAACACTGTTGACAGCTCCAAGATTTCCTACCTTCTCAAAATTCTCTTTTCTCTGGGCTTTTATTTAATGCTTTATTACCCTGGTTTTCTTCTTTTATCTTTAACCATTCCTCCCTGCTTTTAAAAAAGATAATCTTTATCATAATATTTTCTTCTTTCTGCCCCATAAGTGTATGCAATTCCCCAAAGCTCTGTTTTTGCTTCTTTTCGGTTTCTCATAACATCAGGACAGGAAGATTAGCAGAGCCAAAGGGCCAAGAACGTAAGAGGGAAGCAGAAAATGGGGGTTAGATCATCCTGAGGTTATCCTCTGGCCCCTTTTTTCCGGGTGTATGCAATCATGCATACTCCGAATGACATGTTCTTTTTCTTTTAAAAGAATGAAATAAAATATACATTTTGGAGAGATTGCTCTATCTATAATATGGAATGTAGATCAGAGGGAGGCAAGGATAGAAACAAATTGACTAGTTAGGAAACTATTTTAGTAAACTAGGAAAGAGATGACTGCTTGATTTGGGTGTTGGTAGTGGATATGTTGAGAAGCTAATGGATTTGGGGTATATTAAAGAGGTGGAGTCAAGAGGACTTGCTGGTAGATCTGGGGAGAATGGTGAGGGAATGAGTGAACTGAAAGATGAAACTAAGGTTTTGTGATAGGCAACTGGTTGAATTTACTGAGAGATAAAAGACTGAAAAAAGAATTGATTGGGGGGAAGACAGGGGACATGACAATCTGGATATGTTGAGTTTGGGATACTTGTGGTTTATTCAAATGGAAATGCACTGTGTGAGTTAGAAAGGTAGGAGAGAAATCTGTACTGAAGCTTTTTTTTTATGAATTATCAATATCCAAATTGTATACAAAATAATATGAATATATTATCTTACTTTGGGGAAGAATACATAGATGAGAAAGGTGACCAAGAATGGAGACCTGAAGAAATCCAACATTTAAGGGACAGAAAGAAGAATAGGAGCCTGTGAGGGAGGATCTTTCAGAGAGTTTGTAGGTATATCAGAGACCAAGAAAAGAGATTTCTTTTGAGAAGAAGAGTAGTCAACAGTGTCATGCTGCAGAAAGTAAGACAAGGACTAAAAAGTCCACTGGATTTGGTAATGGGGCCATTGGTCACTTGATGAGAACAAATTCTATCATATGGGAGTAGAATCTAGATTTCTTTCCCATTTGCCCCATATCTTAAAAGTCACTGAATCCTGTCACTTCTTTTGTTATTGTCTTTCCCTTTCTCAGTAGCACTTCTTTCCATTTTTTTTTAGTACTAGACCGTATACATAGTCTTCAAATTAATAGCAGTTTGAGCACCTACTCTCTCGTAGACTCTGTTGGAAATACAAAGACATGTAAGATATGATTCCTTTTCCAAGGAGGGGGAAGTAAAGGGGAGAAGGGAAGTAGTTTGAGCACTTACTATGTGCCAGGCACTTCATATATGATAACCCGTTGAATCCTCACAGCTATTCTGTGAGGTCAGTACTATGCCCCTTCTTTCTTTTTAAATAGAAATGGAAGCAAATACTCAGAACTTAAGTGGCTTGCCCAAAGTCACAGAGTTGTAGAGCTGGTACTTGAACTCAGATCTGTTTGGCTCCAAAGCTTATATGCTTTACTTTTTAATGCTTTGCTATCTATGATCTAGTTTATGAGAAGGTAAAATTGCCCAAAAGTTATATAATACTCAATTTAAGCAACAGCTTTGAGATAGTCAAAGAAGAAATGCCATAATAACATTTGACTATCATATAAATTATATAGATAATAATTTCTAGTATTAGAGTACTTTTCAGTATAAATATTTTCATTATTCCTCCTTGGGATTTTTAGTGCCTGGCAGAGAGTAGATGCTTAATAAATGTTTGAATGAATTTAGCGGGAGAAATGATGGTAAGTGGGGTGAGCTAGGCAGGGCTTTTAGAGGAGTGGGATTTAGTTTGGGTCTTGAAAGATGAATATAACTTTGAAAGAAAGATGGGGTGGGCTTTCCAGGCAGAAGGACAGAGTAGGCGAAGGATAGCGGGGAGGGAAGTGTAAGGCAGAGGTCGCAAACAGGCAGCTTGTGTGCTAGATAAGGCCTATAGACAAATTTTGTTTGGCTTGTCCATTGTTTTAGAAAAATTGGAATTAGTTATCACATGTCAAAGTTTTCATAAAAATCTGAATTTCCCACTGCTATTGAAAAATTGAAAGATCTGGCAAACCTGAGCCAACATTCTTGAAGAGCTCAGTAACTGCTGCCCATTCTACTGGATGGATGTTTATCCTCTATATGTGGCCAACTTTGATTGTATATTTATTGGCCTGAACCCTATTAGCAAGTTTGCGACCCCTGATGTAAAGTATGTTGGGGTTGGGGAGGTAGGGGGTTTGGGAGGACTGTGAATAAGCCAAATTGGGCTGGAATGAAAGGTTTTATTAATGTGAATTATTGGGGAATATATAGGTAGATTGGAAGCCAAATTGTGAAGGACCTTGACTGTCCCCCTTTAGGGACGGAGGAGCCATTGAAAGTATTTGAATGGGGAGTGACATGTTCAAAGTAGTGTTAAGAAGATGAGCCTGACAGTAGCCTATAGGACGATGTAAAATGGGTAAGGTTTTTCTGGTAGGGAGTTCAGTTATGGATCTCTTGTAGCAGTGTTTGCATGAGATGATAATGGAATTGAGAGATTACAAAGAACTAGCAATGAATTGAATGAGAACCTAGGAGACATAATAGGGGGAAACGTAGAGTCATTAACTGAAAAGGAATCAAGACAGGAGTTAGTTTGGTTATGTTTTATGTTTGTTTTGTGTTCAGTTTTTGTTATTGTTGTTTTACTTTTTCATGGGGGAAGTTGGTGAGGGCAGGTGGGACAGGAAGATCTATTAAATGGTATATGTTGCTGTCTTATATGTGGAAATTTAACATTGGTAGTATAATTGGAGATTGTTTCTACTCTGAGTACTAAACTACTAAAAAGTAAAATGACTTACATAAGAGCCAATTCTATAGCTCAGGGTAGTTTAGGTGCCCACCTTGCCACTAAACCACATTACTAAGCTGAAAATCACCTTCTTGTTGTGGCTTTGAGCATTTCACTCCACTTTGGTCCTTCTAAATTCCATGGGTTAGTGCTTTGCTTACTTTGAATTTCACCTTGCATGCTGCAATTACTAGATTTGTCATACTTGTCTTCCAGTTGATGTAGAACATTCTCATGTTCGATTTCTGGGAAACCTGGTATTGAACCTGTGGGATTGTGGTGGGTAAGTACCATCATCTACTTATTTGTTTATAAAGCCAATGGCAGTAACCATGGCTTCTAATATAATCAGTATGACAAATATACCTCAGTAACTGTTATTTATAATAGATACATTGGGTAGAATTATTTCATACTTGGTACTTGATTAAATAAAGATCTCTGATTTTTGTTAACTGTGGACGTGCCTTCTGTATGTGACATGTTTAAGTATCTCTAACACAAACTTCACCTAGATATGTGTAGTATAGGTTAAGCATTCTCTATTTTGCAGGGGCATAAATTGGGTTTCTTTTGCAGTGTTAGATGATTTGACACAAGTGCCAAGCTTTTAGCTACCACACCATAATAATTTGTTTTAAATAATTAAAAAAATTATCTCCAGGCAATCTAAGCACTATAGATCAAACTCTGAGCATGTACAATCTGGCTGAGTTACACACTGTTAGAAAGTAGGAGACAGCTCTTCTCATGACCAACGCACTCACCAAAAAAAAAATTATTTTTTCATCACAAATTTACACACTCACTGTGCTTCTATGCCAATGTTCAGTGCTACTCTTTGGCCATTTATATCTCTGATATGAAGCAGCAGTATGTAGTGCACAGTGGTTAGGAATATAGGTATTGGAGTTAGGTTGGGGTTTATATCTCAGCTTTGTTAGCTGTTTTATCTTGGGTAAATCATTTAAACTCTGAGCCACAGTTTCTGGTACAAAATTAATAGTAATGGTACCAATTCAGGGTTATTTTGATAATTGAGATTTTATATAAAAATACATACCACAGTGTCTCACAAAATAAGTAGATATTATTGTCAGCTCTGTTTCCCAGGCCTTAGTATAAAACCAAATAAAGAATAGGAGCTCAGTGAATATTTGTTGAAAGGGTAATGTGATAGCCAAATACTATCTAAGAAAATGATTTCATTCCTGTTAGCAGATGGATCACTTAACATCCTAGCAGCTCTCTCCATATAATCCTTACTCATTGTCATTATTTCCAGTTCTCTAGTCTGTGTAAAGATATTAGTCCAAGTCCCTTGCTTTAAGATATAATCTTCCAAGGTCAAGTAGCTTATTAATAGCAAGATACAGAACTAGAACCTAGATTCATATCCCACTCCCCCATCCCCTGCTACATAATGGTACTATTTTCTGCTGTCTAGCTATTGACTGAGGACTTCTTGGGAAGTAGCATTCAGCGTAAGAAGCAAAGACCAACATTCTTCTAAAAAATTATCATTACAGTTATTTTCATATAGTTTAGAATATTTGACTATTGAGTTCTTCATTCAGAAATATTTCATTGAGCATCTGACACTCCTTTAAATCTGAGAAACTGAGGAATAGTACCAAACATGGTTCTTGTCTTGCTGTCTAGGGAAATGAATGTCATTAATTAAAGACCCATATAAGTATGTGTAATGTCATACTTGTAGTAGGTGTTGGCAATGAGAGTAATGTATTGGTAAATGAGCCTATGGTAAGTACATTAGCTCAAATCAGGGATGTCAGGGAAAGTCATAGTTTGTATGAGGAAATGTGGATTGAATTGAAACCTAAAGGAACAAGCAAGAATTAATTAGATGAAAAAGCATGGGAGTAGTATCAGAGTCAAAGTGAGCAGCATGTATAAAGGCCCCATGGTGGATAAACCATGACCCACTTGAACTGGGAAAGGGTCTATGTGTATAGAGCACCAAAAGAGGAGCAGAGGGTGATGCAAGTTATGTCTCAAGAGGTAAGGTAAACAACCAATAAAAAAAAAAAAAAAAAAAAAAAAAAGAGGTAAGGTAAAGGGACTGGGGATATAGCTCAGTTGGTAGAGTGCTTGCCTTGCATGTACAAGGCCCTGGATTCAATCCCTAGCACCACACACACAAAAAAAGAGGTAAGGTAAGACCAGAATTATTTGCTATTATTTGCCCTATAAATTGTAGCCTTAAGATTATCTTTTGCATTGATGAAGCTTGAACTGAGGACTTGCTTACTATCTATTTTTCCTACCAGACAAGACACCTTCATGGAAAATTATTTCACTAGCCAACGGGACAACATCTTCCGAAATGTGGAGGTTCTGATTTATGTCTTTGACGTGGAGAGCCGCGAACTTGAAAAGGACATGCACTATTATCAGTCATGCCTGGAAGCCATTCTCCAGAACTCTCCAGATGCCAAAATTTTTTGCTTGGTTCACAAAATGGATCTGGTACAGGAGGATCAACGGGACCTGGTAAGAAATGGAACGGGTGCTACACAAATTTGTACCATACTCTTTTCAGCAAAAATGTTCTCAGAATTAAGCTTTCAAACTAAAATCTTATCATTTGTTTTAAGAAAACATTCTTAAAAACATTTTTTTCATGGTAAGAGAAATGTGATATTCAATTAGCAAATAAATTTTAGAATTAGGTAAGGAATCTGACCATGTGACATCACTAAGCAGCCTTTATTTTTAAAATGTTTATTGCTCCATTGTTTTACTGTCAAGCCTAGAGACCCACCAAGAATGAGAGGAAGAAAGGTTGCTGCTGTCACTGGTAGTTACCAGTTCAGGTGCCAACCATACTGTTAGGCTCTAGGCCAGGTTCTTCATAATTGCACTGACATAGTATGTTTCTCTTCTTTTCTAGTACAAATGACTTAGTACTAGAGAAGACACAGTAGGAGGTGAAGTCACCAAGATGGTATAGTAGGAAATATCAGCCTTCATCCCCTCATATTAAAAAAATGTAGGTAACTACCTATAAACTAGTATAGCCTAGAGAGGGATCAAAGACCCATCAGAGGAAAAAAATTAAAGTAGAAGGCATAAAATCCTACCTAGTTTTGAGACTCCAGGACTGGCAGATCAAAAACATAGTCTAGTTCTAGTTCACTTAATATAGGAGAATTAGATTTGTAAGGTCTGAAGTGAAAGAGAAGATCCCCCTCTATTTCTTAGGGTATAACTAAGGAAAGCAGTTTTAGAACATACTAGTCATATAGAAGAATATAATTCTTCCTTGGGTTGTAATGTTAGAGTTTAAGTCTAAAGGAGTTTGGGTAATAGCTATGGTAAGGAATACTTTTTTCTATGACTATTTACAGGATTGCCTCTACTATTCAAATGTTTCTAGATTATTTTGCAGGCTTTCAAAAACCATTTGACAAGGTTCTGCATTTGACTCAGAACTGTACTTTTGAATATCCAGTAGTTTTTTAAACTCTTTCCCCTTCTCCATCTCCCAGAAAACTATGTATAAGTATCTGTCCTGCCAGGCACAGTGGCACGCACTTGTAATCCCAGCAACTCGGAAAGCTAGCGCAGAAAGATTACAAGTTTGCAAATTTGATGCTAGCCTCAACAACTTAGCAAGACCCTACAAAACTTAGCAATACCCTGTCTCAAAATTTAAAAATGAAAAGGGCTGGGAATGCGACTCAGTGGTTGTTTTAGTCAGGTTTTTCACTGCTGTGACTAAAAGATCTGACCAGAACAATTGTAGAGGAGGAAAAGTTTATTTGAGGGCTCACAGTTTCAGAAAGTTTATAGAAGGCCGGCTCCATTCTTTGGGGCTTGAGGTGAGGTTGAACATTCATGGCAGAGTGTGTGGCATAGGGAAGCAGCTCATATGAGAACAGGAAGACTCCACTTTTCAGATACAGATATATACACCAAAGCTATGCCCTAATTCCCACCTCCTCCAGCCATACCCTACCATTTCAGTTACCACTCAGTGAATTCCTATCAGGGGATTAAATCACTGATTGGGTTAAGACTATTACAACCCAATCATTTCTCCTCTGAACCTTCTTGCATTGTCTCATACATGAGCTTTTGGGGGACACCTCACATGCAAACCAGAACAGTGGTAAAGCACCCCTGGCTTAAATCCGCAGTACAAAAAAAAGTATGGGTCCTGAGTTGGTGAAGCTTTAAAAATAATTTCAATCCTTAGCCAAAATTACAATTAAATCTAGAACATTTCAATAAATGAGCTCCTTATGAATATTTCAATCACTTATAATTTTGAATTAAATTTTCTTTCATATGACTATCCCCCAAAGATATATTAATATTCTTTAGTGGATTTTAAACTTAATATCTTTAATTTCATTAAAGATTTAAAGATGGAAGTTTTAAAGTATAAATAATTAAGTGCTTCTCAAAATACAAAGTTCCGTTAAGATTTATTTCCCTGCATGTGCATGAATGTTGTGGTTTTCCAGAGAAACAGAGACAATGAGATATGTTTGTATATAAAGAGACAGAAGGAGATGAGGGAAGTATTTATTTAAGTAATAGCCTCCACTGAATGTGGAGGCTGGCAGTTCTGAAATCTTGAGAGCAGGTCCTTAGACTAGAGACCCAGGAAAAACAGGCAGTGTAGCAGTTTAAGGCAGAAGGCAATGTGAGGGTAGGTTCCCCTCGTCTTTATAATATCAGTCTTTTTCTCTAAATGTCTTATAGATAAGGCCCATCCACATTATGGAGGGTAATCTGTTTTACCCAAAGTCTACTGAATTAAATGATAATCTCATCTAAAAAGTACTTTCACAGTGACATCTAGGCTGCTGTTTTACCCAGTGTTGAGTACTATGGCCTAGTCATGTTAACAAAAAATACTAACCATTATGGTCCACCCTTTTCAACTAGGCACTCATACACATTTTCTAAAAGCATAATTAATTTCCAAATAAATATAATAACACAATTATAATTCCACATAACTTGATACAACTTTTCTGCATACAACTAGAAATACACTAACTCTTTCCAGATAAGTCCTTGGGTAATGTTTATTCTTCTACTTTCTATCCTGTAACTTAAATATTACAATGTAAATAGTACTTAAAATAATATTGATATAAAGTTTATACATCATATGTTCATGATAAATGGATAAAAGTGAAAGACATGCTTAGTATATATCCACTTATACATATTCATAACAAAATCAAGGAAGAAATACTCATGACAGTTATAATTCTCATTTACATGTACTCACATGATCTTGGCTGGTATTTATAACTGCCTTCTTCAATTCTGGATTGCCTTTGCACCTCAGCTGGTTGTATTTCTTTACTGGTAGGATGACCCTAAAACCATTAGTAGACCTAATGGTCTAGGCCATTAGTAGACCTGCCTGAATTGGGTAGTTGTGGTTTTCCACAGGGTATGATATTGTTAATAGATACCCTGAGGGATCTCTTTTATTTTTGACACACTTTTCCCAAACTCCATCGTGAAATATAGTCCAGTTTCCCCATGATAGTTAGTATCAGTCACCCCAGAGAGCACAGGAACTCCCTTTTTTGCCAATTCATTTAGAGGCATGAGGACCCCAAAGTAGCTGGTGGCAGTTTTAATCTCTAGTTCAGTTTAATTATTGTTATATTTCCTGGCATACTCATTCCTGCCTTTGGAACTGAGACCTTCAGGCCAGCAGAGTATAAAGTCATAGAGACAAGAAACAAAAACTTTGTCCTTTACCCTTAGTAATGGCTAGTGCATTACTAAGGGTGATAATAAGTGGTGCCACTCCCATTACCACTCTTTGAATCCTGGAGCCATGAATCCTCACTGTGGTAGAAAAAACAGCAAACATTGGATGCTGAATGAGAGCATATAGCCTCCCAGACAGCCTTGTCCCAGCCCTATAAATTTTTGCCACCTAACTGAGCTTTCAAAAGCCCACTCTATCATTCTGTCAAGCCAGCTGCATTAGGATGGTTGGGAACATGATAAGAACAATAAAGTCTGGGCCCATTGCTTTATTTTATTTGCTGTGGAGGAAGTTCCTTGATTAGAAGCAATATCATGCGCCATACCATGATAGTGGATGAAGCATTCTAAATTTACAGATGGTAGTTTTGGTAGAAGTACTGTATAAATGGAAGGTGAATCAATACCCAGAATTAAGTGTCTATTCCAGTAAGTGTAGAATGCTGCCCCTTGCATGATGGAAGCAGACCATTATAATCAAGTCATCATCATATAATTGCCTGTTCACCTGGAGGACTGGTATGTATTTTGGATTCAGTGTTGGTCTCTGCTGATGGCAGATTGGGCACCCATCAGTGGCCACAGCCAGGACAGCCTGGGTGAGTGAAAGTCTATGTTGCTGAGCCCACATATTACTTTTAACCCTTTCACCATGTCCATTTATTTTCCTGAACCCATTGAGGTGGATAAAGATACAGACTGGTATCCACAGAACAGGTCATCCTATCCACTTGAATATTAAAATCCTCTTTTATTGAGGTTACCCTTTGGTGGGCATTCACCTGAGACACAGATATCTTCACAATTTTTTTTTGTCTATTGGAAGAGATTTATCTATATACCTCTTCCATTTTTCCAGATATGTTCCTTCTAAGTCCCTGACCATCCAGCAAACCAATGGCTACAGCTCATGAGTCATAGCTGTATATCTGGCCATTTCTCCTTCCAAGCAGAGTGAACAACCAGTTGCTCAAGGTTCTTTCCAATGGGAGGATTTCACCTTCAACACTTTCTTTTAGGGATGTCCCAGAAATGGGCTACAGAGCTACAGCTGTTCACTTCTAGGTGATGCCCATGTATCATTCAGAACCATCTATAGACCAGGCCCTAGTCTTCTCTTCCTCAGTCAACTGATTATAGGGAATGCTCCATGAAGTCTTAGGTGCGGGCTGTAAGAAAAGGCAATGTAGCAGCAAAGGAGGACTGCAGGTATTTGGAACACTTCTTAAAATGTAACTTACTTATGCCCTCAAGACTTTCATGGGCCCAGTCTCACAAATATATGACTTTAACTTGGTGATGGAGAACTGCTATACATGTCTGACTTTATGGTTTGGTAGATTAAATAACAACCAGTTTGTGATGAACAGCACAGTTCCCATGGTAACTTGGTAGCCTGTGGGACATGTTCAGTTTGTATGTACTATGGCTTAGTAATTGGCCAAGAGCTGTTTCTTGAAAGGAAAGTAATTATCTGTGGAGAATAGTAGGGCTTTGTTTCAGTACCCTAAATACGCGCATTGCAGTTCACCAGTAGTGGCCTATAAAAGTCTCCAAACAGCTTCCCTATGTGCTCCTTACACTTAAAGCATTGTTGAATTTGTTGGACAATGTGGTCTAAGAGCAGCTTGCACAGCTGGACCTGTCGCAGAGCCCTCATTGGTGCTGGGCCCCATTCAAAAGTAGCAGCTTATTTGGGTCACTCAGTAAATAAGCTGGAGTAATGCATCTAGAGTAATATTTTG